AGAATACAAAAATAATATAACTGAAATTATATATACATGTTTATCATATATTTAGTAGTAAATACACCGATTCTGCACGGTGTGATACGGGTGACGTCCAAACCCCCCGGTCCGAAAATCCATATCACGTATCGGACCGGCGGCCGAAAATCCATATCAAACCGGAAGTAAAGTTTGTATAACGTTTAAAAGTCAATTTACTTGATTTTATTTTAATACTCATGATAAATCTTTCTTTAATGACATTTATAGTCTTAATTTTTTTCAGTTACCTAAAATAGGCTTTATTAGATTTTGGAGAGAAATGTCACAAACACGCAAGAAACATTCATCAATGACCATGTGTGAACTTGCACATTAAGTGTTTTAAATATATGATAAATAGAATATTACATACTAAAATCCATATCATATGTCACATCAGCCCTCGGGCCCCATATCAGCCCTCGGGCCTTCGGAACTTGGGCTGATATGGGGCCCATTTCGGGCTAAATATGACATATGATATGGATTTTAGTATGTAATATTCTCTATATATAGCCTATGACATGTCAACCAAATACGTACAATAAATTACTATATATTAGAATTTTAAGGATTCTACCATTTTGACGAGATGGTCATTAGGTATTTGTAAGCGAGATATAATTCAGGCAGTTTTGAATTTATTGAATGTAATCTTCAAAAATAAGAATACACATGGGAATGACATTTTTATATTAAGCGAAAACAATCCTCTAATGGAAAAGAAAAAATCTTTTAAGACACTTAGTATGTCAACATTGTATTTTTGCAATTCGCTCACCGCTCACCACAATTTGGTCTAATATACGGCTTCTTTGTACTTTAAATATTTTAACAGAGAATAAGCATCATACATTACGTTCATATTGATTTTATTCAAAAATCATGACAATTTCCTTGTTCAAACACTGTTACGCTATGTAATGAAAAAGGGTAAAAGAGAACGAAACGTGATAGATCGAAAAAATTGCAAACTATACAAACCGGTACAGGAAGAAGACGCGTCCCCTGTACACCCGTCCTGAGTCGTACGTACTGATCAGGTACACAGAACCTTCTAAGTAAGCTTTTCTATGTAGTTGAGAATACTACCCAATGATAGGACAATTTGTTAACAAGGTCATCATAACATTCATATAATTTACGCATTATTGACTTTACAGGGGGTTTTGAAGAGCTTGCTTCATGACGGGGAAAAGGTCGTGGTTTCAAACCCCAGTCGAAACTGACCTAAGTCAATAAAAAAAATAATAGGCAGCAACTGTTCTTTCGCAAAGCGCTCATAACTCTGAAGTGAAATTTGCGACCCTTCACGATCTTATGGCAACATTTCTATAAGAGTAAAAGTTTCTAAAATGGGGTCTAAAAGAACATAAATAAATATGTCATGAAAGCCTTGCATCATCAGTTCATTTGTCAGTAGACTGCCTCGGTTTTAAGAATTGATCTTACTCTTGACACCTTTATTTATATCGTACCATCTCCAACAAATTGGTTGTTGGTCCTCTCCCTACCGACCAAGTAAGAATGACCAGACTCAAAACTTTTTAAACCTTCCAAACCACAATATTTTTTGCGTTTGTTCTCTCAGTTATTTCATCCCGTCAACAAATATTTCAAAATTTTCTGGAAACAGATTTACCCAACTACCTATCGATCCTTTTTTTTTTACCTTGAGTTGGGAGTGGGCAGGCAAACATTTTTTTAAAGATGGCCTCCACTGCAATAGATACTCCCATTCATAATATGACATATTATGTCAGTTAGATATATGCAAGTCAGCTTGACATATAGACACCACAGGGTCTGTCTCATGTTTCTCTCAGGTGGTTTATTTCTTATTTGGCCTTCGTCAGGCCATCTATAAAAAGCGTTTGAATGCTCGCTCCCAACTCACCAAAATTGTGTCGGTAGGTAGGGGGGAATCTGTTGGCTTAAGCAGAAAAAATATCGTGTTCTTGAAGGTTTGAACAAAGTTTTTAGTTGGGTCACTTTTAGCCAGTCTGTCGGGAGAGGGCAAACCATTTTTAAAGATGGCCTCATCCTTAGTCATATAAAAACCCAAATATGAAAAGCAGAATACTCTGTAGTTTTTTTTTTCATTTCGAGTAATTTATTTTTATGTAGATTTTTAAATAAATTTTGCTTCATTCAAATGAACAGACTCAGTTGTAATTTTCAATTTCTTGTCAACACATTCAGGATTGAAAAAAGAGTATGGTGAAGTTTTATACACGTTCGTAGGTGATGAGATATTCAGGGTATGTCTGACGCTTGTCATACACAATGAATTCCCGGAATAACCACTTCCCATCCCCAACAACAGAATCATAGAAGTCTTTCAGGTTTGTGTGTAGTGCAGTTGTCCTTTCTACACTTTTTACACGGCGCTCGTCTGTGAGCTACAGGGAAATCATACAGACATACGTCTCCCAAACACATCCGAACTAGCAGCATCTGATGAGGAATTTTCTTTCTGTTTTCTTTCTTGTCTGCATAAGAATACCAAACTTCTTAATTAAAGAGTGGTGTTTCAAACAATGTTCATTATGTAAATAAGAGAAGTAGCATACCACAAAAGATAAATAAAATACACGCAGAAAAGGTAAAATAAGAAAATAATCATATTCAGGATGTGGAATGAGAATAAGACGAACGATAGAGAAGAAAGAAACGTAATGGGTTACACGTACATACCTACGTATTGATCAGCTTTTGTTGAACTCTCGGCACCGTATGCCCCCTGTCCAAACATAGCGGTGCCTCTAGACATTCTACAATCTAATCCTTGTGTCAGAACAGAATCTAAAGTTTCTGCTAATGTCCCGTGAAAAACGTAATGTTCATTAATTTCTGGATAAATGTCTGAAAGAAAAGAAGTGCTGGTTTTGTTTGACTTCAGAATAGAGGTAGTTTTGATTTCGCCGGATGATTTTGGAAGAGTTCCTAAAGGAAATGGACCGCCTCTGGCTCTTGCTTTGTCAAAAAACCTTTGTCTTTCCTGAACATAACTCTCATATAAATCTAGATTCTCCACACGTTCTACTTTAGTAATTCGAATATTGTTATAGAAAAGCATATCCAATCCCTTTGCATCGGCACCTTTTCCTACATTGTGAGATTCCCAAGTCTTTTCTACGATGTTAACGACCAGATCCTTTGTATTCTGGTCGACGTTGACAAGGCTGTACGGATGTCGTCTGTTCCGTCGTTTACAGACCTTGATCTTTTCTCCCCCTTTAAAATCAGTCCAGTAGGACGGAACACAAAGCTCCTCCTCGTACATCATGGAGAACCAGTCACGTGACCCCCGAACAGGTGGAGGTTTGGGTTTTGGTTCTATTATTATTGGAGCCTTATTTTTCATCTTCGGAGGTGCTATCTTTATTATTTCTCTGCCAAATTCCTGTAAAACAGAAATGGGTGATATTTAATAAATCATGTTTCTAGAATACTACTGTATCGTTATTCCATACGTAACAATTAAATATGCGGTGCAATAGAACGTAAGAAAAAGATAAATCCTTAAAAATTTTAAGTCTAAAATCCTACAGGTTTTGTCAACATACCTTCCATATATTTAGAAACTCTGAATCTCTTACGTCTACTACTACATAAACTATATCTATTTTTGAGTCCCTGTTGGCTGTGTTGTATTCTTTGATAGAAGAAAAGATTTTCATTGCCGATATCCTCGGAGGAAATTTAAAGTCTCCAACACCAAGTGTTGGAACTGCAATGGTTTTATAACCATCTTCTTGTAGCTTCATCAAAGAAAGTTGAACCATTAATACCAGTGCCTGTAAATATGAGAAAGGTTTTATAATATTCAATATTGAAGATTGTCACACCCAGGCTATTTAGGGATTCAGAAAAGAGGAGGAACTGACTGAAAGTTAAATGAAAAGAGCAGAGTCAAAATGAAGGAATCCAAACAGTGCCTTACCTGCTGGTTTTGATCCCCTTCCTTAACAGTATACCTTGGCAGGGCCCCGAAGTACACCTTTTTAATGTTTTGAATATTATGACCTCCGATGGATTCGACATCACCTACGTCTATCCCCACCGGGAACGCTTTGGTGAATTCCCTTTCTATACCGGAACCACCAGCCTTAACGATGGCTTTAGACGATCTGGTGGACCCAGGCTTTCCATATGGAGGTAGGGCCTCAACAATGACATCAACCTAGAAAATAGAGAACAAGGCCAATCATCTTATTCGGAGTAAAACAAACAAAAGGAGGTATTTTTAGTCATCTAAAATAAATTGAAATAAAATACCTTTTGTTCCACTAGACATCCAGAGACAAGCTTCACCGTCAGATTATCAAGAGTACATTCAATATCTTTTGGTTTGGAAGGTAAAACTCCTGTGAAGATTTTTACATAAAAATCGAGATTTTCCTTTTCTTACGATGAAAAAAAAAAAACATTTAAACAAAGATATGAACATTCAAGATTTTAGATAAGGTGGAATCTTGTGCAAAACAATTACCTTGCGAAGTTGGCTTTTGGTATATAGTATACGAATAACGATTGAATTCATTTTCGAAGTCTTCAAACGTTTTGGTATCCTTAGGGAATATAACGAAGCGTATATCGTTAACAGTCGTTGATTTATGTCTCATTTCAAAGTCTTTTACACATTGAAGCAGACGACAAACAACGACTTTAGCAGGAAACTGTAGAAAACCTGTGCCCAGTGCAGGAATGGCGATCGAATTAATCTGCAATTGATCTCCCCTCTCAAGACACTTGGTTACAAGATCTGTAAGAGTCTGGAGAAAAAGCAATCTTTATCGTTTGATGCAAAGGACATTTTAAGATTCCATATTCTGGTATTTTAAGGTATACACCTACTTGTTCCACTGAGTTGCTTTCTTCTGCTCTCCAGTACTTCAGACATCCATGGAATATATATCCACAGTACAACTCTCCGCCTCCAGTTTCTGCCAGTTCTCCAAACTTGATTCCGTCCGGATATTTTCGCGTGCATTCCTGTTGAATAGAGCGTCCAGCTTTTTGTAACATTGCTCGCGAGGCATTTCCTGCGTCCAGTGTTAATGTTTGTGAAGTACTGTTGACAATTGCGTCAACTTCCTCTTCGTAAACTAACCCTTTTTTCAAAGTGACCTTTACACACCCAATCCTTGCTTGGCAATCCTTTGGCTTTTCAGATGGAAGTCTTTTCCTGTAATATAAACGAGATATCCGCTCATCTGAAAATTCACAAACGTAACAATGTACACTTTTTTTTTTTCATATGATCCTTCATAATCATTTAATTCTTGGTGTTAAGGGCATTCTATTTCACAAATGTTTTCCTCTAAACAAATTTATTTCATATTTTACTTGAATTTCAGAAATTCAAGTAAAATATTTCAAGCGTTCTTTTTTTCAGAGGGGGTGCGGTAGGAGGGGAGAAGGGTTCGAATATTTTACAACAGAGCATAAAGATGAGATAGAAAATCTAAAAAATACAAGGTTATGTTATCACACCTTATCACATATTTGAATACTCACTTCCTTCTCCCTAGTAAGCCAGGGAGAAAACTACTCTTCAGGTCATCATCCTCGTCAAGAGGTGGCGCTTTCGAGGTTCCGTCGTCTGCTTCTAGCAGATTTCCGGACGATGCTGATCTGGTTATCCTTCGCGCCATTTTATTATTCCACTAGAAAAATTTTGAAATAAACAAACTATTTGACAAATTGCATTCCTTCCTTCTATATTCGATCTCCAAAACTTTCATATGCTACAATGTAGTTACTGATATTATTTAGTTTTAGCAGCTAATAATGTGTTATTCAACAGACATTTCAGATAAATAAGAGGTAAAAAGAAATACGTTTAAAACTTTATATCACAAAATCTGTTTATTTCTGACTTTTTTGACTCTCGTTATTTCTAGATAAAAAAGAAATATGATACGTGTATGTTAATTTAACATTTTAAAAATGTACTTTCGTTATCAAAATTTAAAAAGAAAACAACAAACATATGATCGTATAACAAATACTTCCAATTTACCTTGTCAGTCTTCCTCTTGGTAGGCAAAGTTGATGGAAATTTAAACCAAAAGTAGATGAAAATTTCCACGAAGGGAAGTTCCGACTCGCATTTAAAAATACCTACTACTAAATCGATCTTCTGGTAAAGAATGTTGAAATTAAGGTATTTAAACATGTTATAAATAACCTGTAAGCACGTTTAAACATATTCCCCTGCACATACAAGCATGCATCAATTAATTAATAAAAATATGTGCCACGGCAGATCCGATGTAAAGACGTTGTGTTGTAAATTCACTCTCCCTTAATTATATAATTCTTTTATTAAGCGGCGATTTAGCTTCAGCTATTGAGAAAGTCAAGTATTAAAGCTATATTTTTTTTTTAACATTAAGCATTGCATTGTGTTGGATATTTCAACGATTCTCTGCACATGTTTCTTATTTTATCTTAGTCTCGATACTTAATTCTTCGAACCTTTCAATTTCTGAAATTTTGATTTTCCTATGTTTCATTGAATTTGAGATAACAAGGTTTAATTGTATATCAATTTACATAATATACAAGGTACAACTGAACTTCGGTATCTCGAACACCAATATCTTAAATACAATGGATATAGGTTTTAAAAATATTTTCATGGTCCGATCGAGTTCAAGTCAAAGAAATTTGACTGTTCATTAAGTAAGCAAAAAATTTATACAATACTTGTGTAAGTTTTTTTTTTTAAAAAGTTTATTTTAAATATAGCAAAGAACATGCTCAATATGTAATTTTCAGCATCAAATAAGAGGAGAGAGAAATATTTCCAACATTTTAAGTAGTGAACACTTCATAGTGCTCTTGGCTATCTTTTGATGCTCCCTTGTATTAAAATGGTGATGTATATAAAAACTTTTCACTTGACACGCATAAACCAGTATCAACATTTGAATACAAAGACACAAGTACTGAAAAATAAATACCAATCTGATTAAAGAACGGTGATATAATGAGTTTGCATGTTGAATATGGCAAATAAAGTTAAGAAAAATGCTAAGCCTTAATTATTTTCAATAATTGCCAGAAGAAAATAACAAAATTTTCTTTGAAATATTAAAATCAAACTATTGTAAAACTTATACAGGATGCTATTTATTTTTATATCCTACAATATACAGCCATAGCTAGGTAATCCTCAACCTCCTTCTCTTCCAGGTTGAACGCAAAATACCAAATGTTTTTACTAAAATATTTTATAAACAATCAAAAAACATAATTAAAAATACATATTAATGTTTTTAATTAAACAATAAAATGCTTTCTTTGTTTGTTATTACTGGAATTAAAGGAAGCAGCTGTTGCAGAAAAAATACATAACCCGCTTACGCGGGTTACGTAATTTTTTTCTGCAATAGCTGCGACCGTTAATTCCAGTAATAACAAACAAAGAAAGACATTTTATTGTTTATATCTATATCTGTTTAAATAATCGTTTAAAGTAGGATTAAAAAGATTAATTATTGTATTAATGATGCGAACGTCTTCATACGTTCCATTGATGGAACAGCCACTGATCAAGAAATCTGTACAGGCGACATGCCTACTGTAGTTCATGCAGTGATTAACGCAATGGATTTTCTAAAGAAATGAAGGAGAAAATATTCAGTGGATGTAAATATTCTGCTGCAAATACGAGGATTGTTCAATAAATAATGCCCTGAGCTCTATCACATACAACATAGAAATCATATATGTCACAGGGTGAATTATAATTAATTAATTAATATAATTACTAATTATCATTCATATCATTTTCATATCTTATTATAAGGCATCATAATTTTATAGTTACAAGTGAATTCCGTCGTCACTACGGAATTTACTACGTTCATTCACTGCCTCATTCATTCACTCATTTATACGGGTGAGAGGTCAGTGAGAGTATCCGAGTGTGTGAGTGGTTAAACTGGTTTTTCTCTATCTCCTGCGCATTCGCGCCAATACTAACTTCTTGAGCACTCCAACCTTAGACTTTGGGGAGAGAGGACGCTCTCTCTCCCCAACACAACTTATCTTATGATGTTGTGACAAATTCAGTCTAGGATTACGGTAAGAAATAATTGTTAAATTATTTCTTTGTCTATAATTATTCATTATCTATTTGATCATTTTATTTAACTGAAGTGAATTTCTAAATTATCTAAATTCCTAAGATTAAATAAATCCGTGTAAAAGTGTGTGTGAGGTGAGAAATATTAAATACATGTTTTATTATACTGCAGATCACCCTTTTTCTGATTACGTATAATATATTAAATAATATCGAACCCAGCAGCCGTGTTTTTGTTAATTACTACAACTTCAATACCTAGACTAGGCTGTGACATATATGACATTAATCTTAACTTTCTCTCATGGTAGAATCTTTAATGAATTGATTACAGTTTGTGTGACCACTTTTCATCACATAGTTTCATTATGAGAAGCCGGGAAACAAGGGCTATTCGAAACACTGCGTTATAAATGATTAGTAAAGAATAAGTAAACTATAGTCAATTTTAAACTCTTCATTGAAGCTGTTGTAAAACTTGTTAAAAACCAAAGAAATATTCATTGAAATACATGTATGTTAAATTTACAGCAACCGATGTTTGTTTGTAGACAAATGAGCAGGAGGATTTCAATGAACAAAATCGATAATGGGGATCAAAAATGGGTACCGTCCTTGGTGACAAAGACTTACAACAACCAATGTACTTTTGGCCAAAATTCAACAAATTATCACTGATGATGTTTGATTGACTCTAAGACACCTAGCAAAATTGATATGCATCATTTTGGGGGTAGTTTACACTGTTTTAAAGAAACACTTAACAGTAAAAAAGCTTAGTACTCAATGGTCACCCTATGTTTTGAAAAATGGGTGAAAAATACAGCGTATAAAAATATCTAATATATTATTTTTTTTTAAATCATAAATTGTAGTTCTCCACGTTTGTCTGAAATTTAACAGATAATGAAACTTAAATCCATTTTTAAACCATAAAAAAGATTTACAATAAGATGCACTTAACAAAAAACAGCAAAAAATTGCAAGAGCACTAAAACAGTTTTATATGCCATTTTCTTAAGTATTAGTAGTCTTGTTGTTCATATTCTAATTCGGGGAGGTGGTTCAATTTTAGGAGGAGTCTAGAAAGTAAAATTTTTGCAAAAATTCTAAAGGTTTATGAGGGGAAGGAACCAGAATTAGGAATCCACTACATTAAATTTGGTCGTGACAGCGTCCAACCCACACGCCATGAAGAGTAAAGGAGTTTTGGGGATTAACAGAAAGTTAATGTTTTGTCACACTAATAATATCCGCCAGATCGTTCAACCCTTGATCAGTTGTTTCATTTTCCAAAGTTGAAAAAAACTTCTTTCTGAAAGAAGAAACAAGTCCAGGAAATTATAGGATCTGCCATATTCCAGTATAGGAAGGGCCATGCTCAAAAAAGTGTTCTAAAAACAATCAGAAATTTGATAAAAAATGTTACGGACGTGTTTTTTTTTTTTTATTAAAAGAGAGTGTTTAGCTGAAATCATTCAGACTAAATCATTCTTTCCGAGGATTTAGGACATTACTTATTGAACAGCCCTCGTATAAATACTCTGTGATATGTCATGGATACAATTATTAAACAAAAAACAAAAAAGCAAAGTTTGAATGTGGTGCTATATTAATTATTTAATATGACAGATATGAATTTTATATTTTAAACTGAAATATGTGAATTAAAAGAAACTTGGAATTTGCAAACTTCACTGCACTAATTAATTAAACACCATGCATAGAATAATACAAGAAAAGAATGAGCTAGAATACTTTTTTTGTTATTTCCACAAGGGATGCTTACTCCATTATGACAATTGATCATACCTCTGTGGTGAGAGACCTTGCTTGCTATTTAAAATTTGCATTGTGTAACTGAACTTTTGAGTATTTTTTCTGTTCACATTTTATTTCTTGATAACATGATTTTATTAAGGGATCATTTAGTTGTCTTGCACTGATATTGACATAGAATCTATATTTTTGAATGACAGCATCTTTAGGTAGTTTTATCAGAGTATGCATCATTATATAGCCTAAGTAGTAATTTATAACTTCATTTTTTCTGTAAAGTATTGGGTCTATCATGATCCCAGGTAGCCACAGAACTATTACAAATATGAAATATATTATCACACAACGACATAACAGATTAACAGTTAAATTCTGTACGATACAAAGTAAATGAAAATAGTTATAACACTGACAATTAGTTTACAATTATTAAATTTATGCATGGATATTCATGCATATAATTGTTAGAAAAAAAGCTAAGACTCCAAACCTGGTGTTTCCACGGGTGTTTCACCAGTGCCACACGAGGTCTTCACATTTGACTTGCTATTTCTAAATTTATCGGATGCAACCATTTCTTGAACCATTCGCTTGACCCTTTCATTAAATACAAATGAAACCATGACATAAAGCCCCTGTAACCCATTAAGAATAGATACTAAGTAAGAAAATGGGGATATTTCAAAAAGTACATCAATTATCTGAAAGACCCCTGTTATCCCTGTGAGGAGGAACAGCTTCGGATAAATGGAAAGATAATTTCGAGAGGGACCATTTTCAATTTCAGGAGATCTCTGAATTTTAGAAAAAGTTACGGAGAACAATATGAAG